TCCAATATGTTCTAAGACATCCGAGCGGAAGTATTCCACATTCAGCCCATTGATCCGGACCCAGGCAGTCATATGGGTTATTTTCTCTTCCTTGGCATTGAATCCAGGTTTCCACTTCTGAGTTACAATATATTGGCCAGCAATTTGCCAAGGGCCACCAGTTAATACATACTTCATATCTTCCTCATAAAGGAATTTCACTATAAAATAATTGTTTTCCAGGTCGAATAGGCTGATCGGCCCCTTGAGGTCCCACTTCTGGAGAAGCCTAGTTCTCAGGAAGGTGAAAGCCAGGGGGCGTCCCATGAGTTTGATTATAACAGCTGTGCGCCAGGGTCGGTACAAAGCGTTTTTAACCTTGTTAGAGAATTGAATGGAAGGGTACGCACCTTGTATGATTACAAAATCATCCTCCCCAATATTTGTTTGCTCATCTACCAAGCCAAAATCCCCAGATACTTTGTCTTTGAAGCTTATCGGAATTGTGGGCAGGGGAGGAGGCGGTTCGTCTGGGTCTGAACCACCCACATCTACCATCTCAAGGGTTCGGGCCCTTTTTCCTCCCACATTTTGTCCATCAGTAGCAGATCCAATCTTCCCAGCAGAGAAGGTGAATGCCGACATCATAGTAAAATCAAGATCTAGAAGAAGAATATTAGCGTGAGGGAACAGGAGAGAGGAAAAGTCAAGGCGCGTGGGGCGCGTTCCTTTCTGTCATCAGGCTCTCATTTCATTCGTGTTAGTACTTAGCGTACAAGCCAATACTTTTTCACTTCTAACTAAAACACAATTTTAAAAAGGGACACCACATAAATTAAAAGTTGCCCATGTATTACCGTTACATTGTCATTTTTGTTACCGGACCCATCCAATTTTCTTAGACAATTACTAAATTCTAACTTTTCAATTATTCTAAATTTGCTAGAAAGTTAACACAATATACAGATATAACTGTAGGGGGCTTTTTCGTTCCGGCAGCTGCAGATTGGGCTGGGCTGCTGCAAAAAACCTAATGTGTGAAATGTTGGAATTTCAAAACATTTTTCCAAAGTTCATTTGAATATTAAACATGCATTTAATCAAATGAATCGCAGCGGAAGTCTATGGTGGTTGTTTAAATTCAAAAACAAAACTTCTTCCAAGTATCTTAAGCCATGAACATTGATATGTTTTTCATAAATGAAAATTCAAGAGAAAGGATAAGATCTAATTACCCTTGAAGCAATTATATGAACCAATTTGTGTTTGGTCTTCTCTTGATGATTTCCTCTTTGTTGATCTCCTCTTTGATCTTTGATCTTTGCTCCTTGATCTTTCTCCTCCATGTGAGCCACAAAAGTATATGGCCTCTAAGTCTCCACACCAATGGAACCTTGAGATAAGAATAAGTATCTTGAGAATACTTGGATGCTAGTGCAAGATTCTCAAGATTGGTTTCAATCTAAACCACTATGAAAGATGAAAGTGTTTCACTCTTGAAAACTATCATTTTTCTCTCTTTGATCTCCCAAACCTATTTGGTTGATCTTGGATTGTGTTTGTGTGTTAATGAGCTTATAGAAACAATTCCCATACACATTCACTTAAGCATTTTCGGCCAAAACCCATTGGGCTTCCAAAATTGGGCCTTATGACACTTAAACCATAATATTTAGGTGTCTTAAACCCTTGGGCTTGATACCCAACCATTTGGGCTTCCCGTTAACTATTACCGAGGCCCAAATACGTTTTTACACGTAGTAAATCATCCACATCAAATCAATCAAATTGATTTCCTCATTCTCATTTGTATTACTCAAAGTTAACCATTTAAGGTGTGCAATCCATTAGGTTCTAATTAGCAAGGTAGTGGGAAAATATTAGAACTCTTTCTAACCAACTGGAATTAAAACCCCTTTTTAATTCTTCCTTTATTTGGATCGATCACAATCAATCCTAGGACTTCCACAAGCCAAGAGTGACATCTAGCAATATATCAAAGCTACCCAAGCTAACCAGAATAGATGAAGAACCTATTCAGTTGGAATTACAATGCAATACGGTCCTTCTCTTATACAATGTTTCAAATCATATTATTAGGATACGGATTGATTATGTCAAACCCCTAATATGATTTACAACCTCATGTGATTCAAAAGAACCATTTGTTTCTTTACACGATGTAAAAGATAACAGATTAAGTTTGCCCTTTATATATCATATACGAAATGTATTCTAAGGAGATTACATCAAATGTATTGGCTCTTAGGGCACATTTCTAACATGAAAGTACCCCTTGTGTCTGAGTTCAAAAACTAGGCCCCAAGAATGTTTCGAAAGGGTAGTGGAACCTTAGGAAACACCCTGGTTGTCTTCACCAACCAAAATGATAATGGCTTACAAGTAGATTTTTAGTTTGGCATGAGGAGCTTGTGGCATGGAAGCAAAGTGGTCATGAGTTTAGCACTTAAAGAGAGAGAGATGTGGGTTCCTATGAGAGACGGGGGTTCTAAGGAAAAGGGGAAGGGATTCTAAGAAGGTTTGCTAAGGAGGGAGAAAGATGGGAAAAAACGATGGGTGGCTTAAGTAATTTCCGGCAGCTCGATGCAAACTTTGTCAAACTCTGGAATAGCTTGCCAGAAGATAAAATGGGAAGAGATGGAGGAAAGGGGCTCGAAATTGCAAAGGGTTTCAGGGGTGAAAGATGAAGCTTGCTCTCTAGATGTGGGTTGCCTTTGATGGGTGGAAGGTGGCCCTTTTTATAGCCGCTGGAAGCTTCTCCTTTCCAAGAAACTCTAATGGTTTCCATCCAATTTGGCCAAGTCTTTCCTTTCCTTTCTCCTCTCTCCCTTTGACTCATCCTATTTTGGTGAAATCCTTTCTACCCATTCACACAAAGACAGGGTTTTTGGGAGCTCTAGGCTCTTCCCGCAACTGTTTCAGTGGGGGACTCCCCTTCTCAGCCATCTCCCTTCTTTCTTTCCTTCCCTCATCCATGGTTAGATCTGATGGAGGAAAGAAATAGGTATGTACGCTGGTTTGAAAGGTGCCTCCCCTCCTAGCAGTCTTCGCGCGCCAATACCCCCTGGTTCTTTGAATGCTTTTGCTTGAAATTCATTCCCCCCATGTGCTGGGGCTTCCTTGTATACATGGGTATCTTGGTTTCCTTCGTGGCCCTTGTTCTCCAGCCAAGTGTTGGGGCTTTTGCAAATCCTTACTATGGTTGCATGGGCCTCCCAAGACAATAGGTTGGCTTATCAAGTAAATGGGCTAACTTCATCAAGTGTTGGGCTATTTTCTCTAGGGTATTGGTATTGGGCTACTTTCTCTCTCTCTCTCTCCTTTATGCTCATCCATATGTTTGGGCTCAAGAAATGGGCTTGAGTTTCGAGGCTCCCAAGCAGCCCGAGACTTCCATTTTTCGGCCTATCAATGGGCCTCATGACAACTCGTCACCATCCATACCACAACCCACTCAAGCAAGCCCCGGACATTCGAGTGGCTTGGGCCCACCTAAGCTTGTAGCGTGGTTGGGTGTGAAATAATGATTTCCTGCTTGGCATGGCATGTTACTTGGCGTGCTTTAACTTTATCGTTCTTGAAAAGGGACATAATGCTTGACGGGGTAATTAGCATAGGCTCGTAGAGCTAGTGCATTTTATAAGCTTTACCTTAATTCCTAGCATGACAAATTATTTATTTGGCATGGCACATGGACTGTGACTCGTGTATGGCGGCCTTTCGTGCGCTCCAAATTGGGTCTTTTCTTAATAAGGTGTCGCATTGGGCCGAGAATTCATTCAGGCCCAACCATGAATTTTTTGGGCCTCAACAATAACAACTATCAAACTTTAAGTAGGGGTATTTTAGGAATCTGAAAAATATAAAATATGAGACATTAAGTTTGATTAGGTAATTTGCTTAGTTGGATTCTATTGATCGGGCTTTACCCAAGAAAAAATAATAAAATAGGTTGGAAGTAAGAAAAAAAGAATTTGAAGGAAAAAAATTCTAAATAAAATATGAAGTCAACAAGTCGCTCCACTATATCAATACTGCTCTACTATTTAAATAAAAATAAAAATAAAAGTTCTCAACAAACTTAAAATTTCCAACTCCGCCCATCCCAAACAATATATAACCCATGTTTTCGTTTCTTTGTTGTAACATCCCCCATCTCTCCCTTTAACACGCATACACCATAAGGAAATTACCTCTTTGTTTTCAAGGAGTATGATGAAAAATGAAAGCATGAAGTTCTAATATATGCTTTCATTTTTCACCTTCTCCTTGAAAACAAAGAGATTAGTTCCTTATGGTGTATGTTAGAAACTAATTCTTAGAACTTCATGTATGTTCCAGAAAATTTTATATATATATATATAGTAGAACTTCATGCATGTTTCGGTTAAATGTCATGCAAAATCAAAGGGACCATGCAACTTATCTCTCTCAAAAGAAGGGTGGAGAATGAAAAGGTTGAGGAGAGGAAGCATGGGAATTGCATGTGAATCCACTTTTTCTATTGGAAACACCGCAAGCATGAACTGAACCCAAGGAAATTTTTTTTATTTTTAAGTAACTATAATTTTCTGTTGCCCAATTTAATATGTAAATTACAATTCAACTATGATCTGTTTTTTAATTATTGCATTCGATCTGTTTCCGGAGTTCAAATTTTGTGCATATTCTTCATCTAACATGTAAATTTTTCGATCATACGGTCGTACCAGAGAGTGCATACCCTGCTGTAAAGAAAGACATAATAGGTGGGGGTTCAACTGAGAGAGGTATGTGACTGATGTTCTTGTTTCTTTGGATCAGTTTTGGTCCATCCCTCAATTTATGAGATGTATAAATCATCATCTTCTTCATATTGTTTATTCAGATGCATTGTATGCGCAAATTGAAACAGAGAAACGGTTGGCCCTAATTAAAGCATGGGAGGAAAGTGAGAAGACAAAAGCAGAGAACAAGTATGAGGGAGGCTATTGTGCTTTATATAAGCTTAAACATGAAAATTATTGGAGTATCTATTGCTTTACAATAATCATGATCTTTCATGCTTGATTAAGGTAATTAAATTAATCCAACATTTTCAACTATTGACAGGGCATATAGACGAATGTCAACAGTAGAATTGTGGGAAGACAGCAAGAAAACTTCTGTGGAGGCAGAACTCAAAACAATTGAGGTAAGAAAACCATGTTTTGTAGTAGATTATGATCTTTAATAAAAATAAAATGAAAATTGGAACTTTGTCATCGTCGTGAAATAATCTTGTGTTACATGCTTCTGGACAGAAATTCTTTTTTTGTCATAACATTTATCTGACAATGTATTTTGTACCGACTTAACATGTACATTGCTTGAAATTAACACTAATTCATATAATCTAACTAGAACCCCTTTTTGATATTTGACCAAAATGTGTTTCCATCGACTAATCTGTGGGGACTAATGACAGGAAATATTTGAAAGAAAGAAGGCAGAGTATGCTAAGAAAATGAAGAACAAAGTGGCTGAAATTCACAAGGCAGGAGACGAAAGGAGAGCTTTCATTGAAGCCAAACAAAGAGAGCAATGCCTCAGGGTGGAGGAGACAGCTGCAAAGTTTCGTTCTACTGGAATTACACCAAAGAAATTGCTACTTGGGTGCTTCATCTGCCAGCATTCTGCAGTTAGGTAATTAACCATAAAAAAATAAGGGAGGGGCTTGTTTTCCACTTTGGTTTGAGCTTTTTATTTCTAATGCAACATTTATAAAAATAAAAAATAAAAAAGCAAAAATATAAACTTTTAGAAATTCTCCTATGCGGACGTTCGGACGTTATTATCGTGTGGACGCCATATATTTTCTACTACCCCACTTTGCTTTCCTTCTTGTTTACAATAACATCCACACGATAATAACATGCGAACATCTGGATGAGAGAATAACTGTATAAACTTTTATTCTTAGGATTAGTAAAGTGTATAACAATTTACATATATGGCAAAGAAAAATGGGCAACTTTTGAAATTTCTGAGCTCATTCCAAGGCCATTGCAATAACCCACCCCAAACACTTGGAATTAAACCTCCACTTCCATAAGCCCACTTGAATGTTGAGCTTCTAAATTTTGGGCCATTACTTTTTCCCATGCTATTATGTTTTTATTTTATATTTTAAATGGTGATATTGTCTCCTCCCTTAACTCTTCCTACCCATCTACTTCTTGTTCCATCCACACAAAAAATAAAATAAAAGTAATAATTTTACTCAATCCACCCACTAAATACACTATATGGTGTTTTTTTTCCGGAACATTGAGACATTCTTAATTAATTTAATTTACGAGAAAGAGATTTTAGACTCAGGTGCAGAGAGACGGACACATTACCTTAACTAATTAGCCTAACTCACATTTACCATACTCATCTACTTCTCATTTTTGTTTTGATTCTTGCAACCATAGTCTGAAATATCGATAATATCGACTAAATATTGAGGATATTTCGATTTTTTCGAATCATGGATATTCCGGAACATATCCATGTAAATATCGTATAAATATCGACAATATCGATGATAATATTGGAAAATATCGATGTATATAATTTCGCTCACACTTCAGCAATATTTTGTCAAAATATCGGTGTAATATCGCTAAAATATTGAAAATATCGATGTAAAAGAAAAAAAAAAGGGAAAAAAGGGAGAAAAAAAAACACAAAGGGGATTTGAACCCCTCCCATTTTACTCCTCCAACACCTTAACCACCATATCACTTATGTTTTTGTGATAATATGCTAAAATATTTATATTTATATGGGTGGCATGTTAACAATTACGTGCAAACCTATTTTTGGGATTTATCATTTGATGACTACTCTTCACAATACACTTACTCTACACATAGAGATGATGAAGATAGTGAAAAATTTGAACCTCATAAGAACTCTATGTGGTACTAAGTCACTCATGTATCTTACCATGCAATGTATAAAGTGTAAAATATTGTAGTAAATCATTATATATAAATGATTGTGGTGTGTTTAATCTTTTTTCATTAATTACTACATATTTTATACACTCACAGTGTTTGCCAGCTAGCTATATAATCAACTTAAATAAGTTAAATCCATCATGCAATGCATTTCCTTCTAATTTTTTGTGATAAACTAATAGATAATTGACTAAATAAACATTCTCCAAAGTTTGAATAAAAATTTCCAGGTTTTTCTTACAATTTCCGTGATTTTTATTCAATTTTTATCGATATCGATAATATCCCGATATTTCCATCGAAATTTCCGTGTTTTTGGACTACCGATATTTCCGATATTATCGATATTTTAGACCTTGCTTGCACCTAACTTATGCCGAATAGTTTGTGTCATATAGGCCCCATTTGCATTACTTGCTCCCAAAATTGGTTGAAATCTTAAAAATTGGTAGTTGAGTGAGCAGTGCTTGAAGAATTATGGCCCAATATTCGCGTATTGATTTTCTCAGTAACCAAACACACGTTGCCAAACTCTTTTGGTTCTCTTGTTTCCCAGATGCTCCGTTTAAATAAAGTCAGATTCTGTTTCTAAATTGGATTTCATGCGTTTGTTAATTATTATTTAACGAACAAAAAAAAAAGATTCATGAGTTCGTAGGCCCACTCAAAGGTCCCCACTCCCCTCCTACCCTTTTTTCCACCCTCACTTGAGATTTCTTTCGTCACGTGATACCTGCTCACTTTGGGCTGTCTTAGCACGTGATTTTCTTTATTTATTTGTGTTTTCACTTTCGTATTTTTTATTTTCATCTTTTTCCCTTTGGCACTTGATACTTGAACTAGACGTCTTTTTACATATAACACTATTTTTTAGCTCATACATACATATATAATGTCAAATAAAGTAGGCCAAATATTTAGATATGCTCAGATTATTATTCTTCTCCAATATGGAGGTATTTATACAAGTACAAAAATGTGTTAATCCTAAATAAAATAGGAAATATATCTAAATTACAATAGGAAGTAAATCTCTATTACAATAGGACTAAATAATAATTGGTAAGTAACCAAAATTCTAATGAAATAAGGAACCAAAATCCTAACTAAGTAAGCACTCGCCAACACTCCCCCTCAAGTTGGGGCAAAGATATTTCGCATGCCCAACTTGACAAGCGAGTCACAGAACACCATACTTGAGAAGCGACAATTTAGAGAAGGTCTTTTCGTCAACCACGAGTGAAACAAGTGACAAACTAAAGCAAAGTTCGCAGCAGAAACACAAGAGCAAACCCTAAAAAAATAGGGCACATAATAGAACACAGAAACCCTGCGAACACGGCAAAGGACACAAAAACCCTATGAACATGGCAAAAGCAAAGGCAACCAAACCCTAAAAATAGGGTAAGGCAAGGTAAGACAAATAAAGTTCAAACAAAGGCAAGGTGGCATAGCATGGCAAAGAAAGCCCAGATAGGGCAACAAAACCCTAAAAATAGGGTAAGGCACGACAAAGGTAAGGCAAGGCATGGCAAGGCAAAGCCAAACCCTAACAAATAGGGTAAGGCAAGGCAAAGAAAGCCAAGAGCAAAGGCAAGGTCAACGGGCATGACCACAGCGGAAACACACCAGTAAAGGCATGAGCAACAATATTGGCACCAACAAGAGCAATACAAGGCACTGGTACCAGCAAGAGCAATATAAGGCACTGGCAACAATAACAGCAGAGACAACTTCTCTTCACTCCCCCTCTCCCCCTAAAGAGAAGGGGTCGACAAACCATAAGAGCAGTGGCACTTGAGAAACAGAAGCTAACTGAAGCTCAGATGTAGAAGAATCACCCATGCCAGATAGGTAACTGAATTGCAGCATAATAGATGAGCTGGTTCCTTATTTCATTAGAATTTTGGTTACTTACCAATTATTATTTAGTCCTATTGTTTTTCACTTAAGGTTATGTTCTAGAAAATGCGGGAAAGCCAAGAATTGACATAATTCCATTTCTTCTTATACCCATTATTGATAAGTGAATATGTCATTAAAAGAACTTCGGAATCTCTTAAAGCACCCATAAATCTCTCGGAGATTTCCTCTATTTTTGTTAAGGTGCAAGGAAAAAGACTTCTCATCTATAGTAGCAAATTAGCGATTTTTCACACTTACGTATTTGCAGTATAGTAAAACATCTATAGTAGCAAAAAGTACAGAGGAATTGAAAGATAGGAGTTTGCATGATTGTTGATCTATGCAAATTAAATGCAATTCACAGGAACTCACAAGCACACCAAAAGGATGAAACTAATGAATAGATAGAGCCATACGTGTGTGGTAAATGAAACCAAAAACAATAATGGATATGTCAGTGTGATGAAATTTTTTAAATTGGCGCATGATAGAAGTAGTGGCGCATTACAATTTTGCATGGCCCTCAGCATTCAAGTAAATGGACCCCTTGTTCTCTTCTCAAACTTGTCCATCACTTGCAACGAACTGTAGAAAGTTTAATGATGCAAATACAGTTGGCCACACTGATTTAGGCCAAACAACATATGGAGTTGTTTGTTACAAGACACAAGCATCCTTTAGGGTCCTCCTAGCAAATTGCATGTCGTCAAGTTCAGTTTTTAATTTTCTTATGCGTGGGGCTTTTTCTTTTTGTTTGCTAAAATGTGGGTCTAATAAAGTTTCTTGTGGTGGAAGATATTGGAGAAGTTTCCTCTTAACCCTTTTCCCCACCTCACTCGGACCCGTTTGATAACCATTTCAATTTTAGTTTTTAGTTTTCATTTTTTGTGCTAGAGTATAAAGGAAAAAGAGGGAGAATGGAAGTGAGAATGAAAGTGGAGATGAGATTGAGAGTGAAGATGAGAGAAGAGGATGGAAGGAAGGAATAACAAAAGTGAAAACAAAAACTAAAATCTATTTCAAATTGTTTTTACTTTAAATATTTTGTTTTCACTTTTGTTACTCCTCTCTCTCATCCTCACTTCCATTCTCTCTCTCATTTTCCTATACTAAAAACTAAAATTGAAATGGTTATCAAACGGGCACTTTACTTAAAATTGTAACATCTAAGCCAAAATTAATTACTAAAATACATACAAGTTTACATTTAGCAATTTATTTTTCAAGATTTTTTCACCTCACTTGTACAGAATTGTAACATTGAATTCAAAATCAATTAGTAATATAGAGAGAGGTTTACGATTTAATCTGTTGCAAAATTTACATTATGTTGAGACTTCATATTAGCCAACATAGAATGCAATGATGTGAGACTTTTGGTGATCGCAGCGCGCCTTTTAAATAGATTGTCAAACTATATTAAGAATTTTGTTAACGTCAGTCATCTACGAGCGTGTGATAAATTTTAGGCCGCTAATAAAATGTGAGCTCCATATGTATGGTATGTGAGTGGTTCATCGTAACAACAACTCCTACGTTATAAACTCGAAACATCCAATCCAAAAAATCAAATGTAAATTAGTGAAAGAGGCTCAAAGTTTTTATTGACTTAAACGCAAGGCTTAAAATGTCGGATATTCTAAACAACAACGTCCCTGTAATAGATATGTGCATAGACAGACAGACACAGAGGACCACACATCCACAAGATGAAGAGCCAAAAAGCAAAAGATGTACATGGGGTTGGGCATGGAGCCCATTCAAGGGCAGTTGGGTTGACAGTTATTAAAGTTATATACAAAAATGATCTGATTCTAATTAAATGTAATTCAGAAACCCTCTTGGACGTTAGAAATTGTAAGATATTTACATGTCACATGTTGTACTTGGAAGAAATTGAGGTGGTGAGTCTGGTGCTGCCTGCAGACGCACGCTTTGGTTTGGAGCTGTGGAGGTGGAGGCAGTAAACTACTTATTGACTGTGGTTATACGCTTCGGCCAACAGAAGAGAACAGAAAAGATGAGGCAGCTTTAAAGCCAAGCAAAGAAAAGAAATTCAGAGACAGACAGACAGCAGCAACCCCAACTCCCTATCATCTTCCCACATCTAAAGCTTTCTTCTCCTGTCTCCTCCCACGTACCACACCTTTAAAGTTGTACCAGAATTTCATTCTTCCAAACCTACACACTCTAGCTACCCCATTCTCCGTCTTCTATCTTTCTTTT